GCAACACATATCTAAAATAGCTCATAAATCTACCCTACTTACAGGCACGAGTATTATAAGCCAACCTTAAGAGCTGCGACTTCGCAACAGAAGGATCTCCAATCAGCAAAACGTTGATGTCCCCTCGAAGACGACTTCCGTTGTCGAGAATCTTTTCGCATCCACCGAGAAGCAAACATAGAATTGCCTTTTTTACTTCATCGTGTCCGCAAATCGAAGGAGCAAGAGAATGGGAAATAAGTTCGAAGACCTAAAATTTGCATTTTCGCTTCAAAGATTCAGAATGTCACTAAAGTACTTACATCCTTTTTCCTGCTAAGCTTGCGAATATTTCTGACATCTTCGGGGTCGAAGTCCAAGGTGGTTTCTTTAGACAACAACTGAATATTGTTGGAGATGACAATGGATCTAAAACTCAAAGGTTCGAATGGATAAAATCATGAACAACGAAAAGGTAGAATTCTACTGGCTTTCTTTTGCCTCTTGCTGAAAACACAATGAATTCAGACGCTTACCTGAACGATCCATTTGAATACCCATTTTGCTTGTTGGGTAGAACGCGATACAATCCAATAACACGCACTCGATCTCCGGGGTTTACAAGGTCTGCCAAATCGTTGTCCGCAATTACGTCCACCGAGCGGGGAAGCTGGCCAGCTGGAGCGCACTCGGGTAATTCCTGAAATTAATCGCTGAAACTCAGATTTCTCATGATTTACTCAAGATAGATGGGTTTGGATGCCAAAAAAAAAACTTTTTTGAATCCAGATATTTTGCTGAATTGGGCACATTTCTTAAGAACAAAGGTGCAGTTTAGTTGCCAGCAAGAATAAATTATGAAAACTATTGTGGTTTTGTGGAAAACTATTTTCAAATCTTCAAAGCATTTCGATATTTGACTGTATCTTAGTAATTTCCAGAAAGTTGTGTACAGCAGCGGTAAAGTCGAAATCTTGAAAGAAACACACCTGTACGGAGAACGACTGATGATCCTTGTAAGTACTCAAGCCAAATTCAGTCTCCAGAGGGTTCTTATTCTCATCCTAAAAAAAGTTTTCTTTCAGACAAATGGAACTCAAGCTCCATATTTCAATTAGCTCACCTCTGTTGGGTAAACATTGCTGCTTGGGAAAGACTCGTAAGAGGTTAGATCAGTGTAACGTTTTTCTAGGGTTTTCTTGGTTGCTGGACAGTAGTGGACACTTTTTACAACCTTAGGACGGACCAAGGAACCTGAAAACACGAAGGACAATTAATCAACGACTAGAATTTAATCAATCATTTATGCTACATAAGGTTATTGTTTTACTTGTTTTTTCTTCAAATATTCTACGTAAGAAATTGCGATATTTCTTGCGCACATTTTTACAAAGTTTCTGATAGCATAAATTATGCATGAACATAGTCTTTTGTATAAGAAGTTGCTAGAGGATAACTTAGCACACGTCGA